TGGCTGCATATATCTGACATAGATTTGAAAGATGGTTTCTTTCTGTTATTCTAGTGCTTCTGCTGTTCAAATCTGTTAGACATCAAAAGATATGTCCATTTGCAGTTTTGAGAGCAGCATAAACCACAAGCATTGAGATGGTTATCCTTACTTTTGAGGCATTGGGAGAAGAATTGTGGAGTACCATAATGGGGATATATAATGGTGTCACTTTGAAAATTGAGCACTTACAGAGTGACTTGTAATGGGCTACCACAGTGACAGATGAAGAGTGTTAGAGGTGCCCATGTTTACTTGTAAACTAAACTTCATATTTCAAAACATTTGTACCATTGAATTCTCTAAAGCCTGATTCCCAGCCAAGTGAGCCTCTTTTCAGATCTGAAAATGAAAGTAAAGCACTGAATGTTGGAGATGTAAAAAGGAGGATCCCTAAGAGGAATAATGAAAATATGGACATTATGACTATTTCATATTGGCCTAAATTTTGAAACCATTGCTGTTTTCATGACAGGCAATTCCTCTATCACTGAGCTGTATCCTAAGCACCAGATTTGTGGATTGGAAGACTTTTTGTAAAATTGGGAGATATGAGATGTAAATAAACATGCAAATTCACTTGCATGTATCTCCATATATGGCAATAAATAAATAAGAAGAGTTCATGACCAAGTTATTTGCAATTGGTAATTGAGGGGAAAGGAAAAATCAGTTTTCTCCAACAGAGGATCACCACACTACACAGTAGACCCCATGTTCTTGCCCATGTCCAGGAGATGTTACCCAACACAAAAAGACTCCACAATTTTGTATGTTTGTGTCTGTGCTTGTGTGTGTGTGTGTGTGGGTGTGTGTTTCATTTGTTTTGTTTTGGTATTTTTATTAGTTGTTGTTTGTTCTGTTTTCTTTTGGAGACAGAGAGGCAGGGAAAGAATATGAAGTTGACTGAGTAGGGAGGTGGGGAGAATCTGGGAGGAGTTGGGGGAGGAGAACACATGATCAAAATATATTGCATGAAAGAATTTGAATGAAAAAACAAGAGGTCATCAACTGAGGCATTGGGACACATTGGAGAAGTTGTAGCATGGAGAGAAAGTGAAGGAAATATTATAAATACACTACTCAAATATGAAATTTTCCCTAAAATAAAAACTTTAAATTTAAGACTGGTCTGGTTTTAGATAACCAGTTATGGGGCTCCACTGAGGGAGAAGACTGACTCTCCCTCTTTTTGTAGTCATTAATTGCCTGTCTTTTTGTCTTGAGTTGGTTTTTTGTGATGTTTCCCTCATCCATGTTGGAAGGTCAACTGGTGTCATCTTTCTTCAGGTTTTGTTTAGGCAACCATATCACTGTAGCTTTCCTATCATAAAAAGAAGACACAGTCTCTCACCAGATGCTCTGGCCCGCTGACTCTTATAGTCTTTAAACCACCACTTTCAAAATGTTTCCTGAGTGTTCCTAAAAAGCATACATACAAACAATACTAAGCAGTTTTTAGTTATATATTTGTTTGCATATGTGTGTAAGTGTGTATCTGAGAGTGTTTGGCAGTAATAATTAAATAAAAAAGTTTGTGAATTTGAGAGAGAGTCAGATGTCAAGGTCATAGGAGGTTGGAGCAAACAAAGGGAGAGTGTTGTTGGTTGTGATTTTACTTTTGTTTACTCTTTTGGAGGGCCCAACACACAGCACCCAAATAAATCACATAGGAGCTTACTACTTATGAATGACTGGGATTTTTCCCTTTCTTCTGTATATTTTACTTTCACTCTTACTCTGTAGCTAACTGGGTGGCTAGGTGGCTGGCCTCTGACATCCTCCTCTCCTTGTTGTATTTTCCTCCTCCTCTTCCTCCTCTTCCTCATCCTCTTTTTATAACTTCTTCTTCTTCTTCTTCTTCTTCTTCTTCTTCTTCTTCTTCTTCTTCTTCTTCTTCTTTTACTTCTTCTTCCAGATTTCTTCTTTTTATACTCTTGGACTGCCAGCCCTGCCTATCCTTTCTCCTGCCTATTGACTATTTAGCTCTTTATTAGACCATTAGATCTTTCAGTCAGGCAAAGACTTCTCAAATGTGACACAAAAGAAAATAACATCTTTACATCATTAAAGAAATGTTCCACAGTATAAGCAAACCATAGGGAATAGGTTACAAATGGCTAGCTTCAGGGACAGCTATTGGTCCCACTGCTAGCATCCCCAATAACAGACCAAGTTATACAACTGTCACCCAAATGCAGAGGGGCTTGTTTGGACGAATTCGGGCTTCTCAGCTGTTGGTCTAGAATCCATGAGCTGACAATCTTGGGCCGGCTGTCTCTGTTGGGTTTCACTGTCGTGATCTTGAACCCCCTTAGTCATATGATCCCTTCTCCCTCTCTTATACTGGTCCCCAGGAGCCCAGTACTTGGGTGTTGATCTTTGCATCTGCTTCCATCAGTTAATGGATGAAGGCTCTGTGATGACAGTTAGGGTAGACATCAATCTGATTACAGGGGAAGGCCACTCCAGGCACCCTCTGCACTATTGCTAGGAGTCTTAACTAGGGTCATCCTTATGGATTCCTGGAAGTTTCCCTGGAACCAGGTTTCTCCCTAACCCCATAATGGTTCTCTCTATCAAGATATCTCTTTCATTGCTAAGAGTCCTATTGTTCCTCATGATGAGATGATGGAGATGACATGCCTTTCTTTTTCTCCCTCTGGGCTGCAGGAACCTCAAACCCAGAGCTTCTCCACATCCTTGCACTCAGGATGAAAAGTAGGAACCAAGCGATTTAGGCAGAGAAAGGGTCACAGGAAAGAAGGTGAATTAATCAAGAAAGACAAACAGGGCATGCATGCCTTAATGCCAGCACTGAGGAGGCAGAAGCTGGAGATGGATCTTTGTGAGCTTGAGTACGATCTGTCTTTAAAAGAATAAAAGAGTAAAGAAAAGGAAGCCATCTCGCCCTGCCCAGGAGCTATCATTATGACATCAGAGTGGTGGTCCAATCATTGGGCTATGGAACATACGTCAATTTACACAAGACTGTTGATTGGTTGAAGGGCTTAAGCCCGCCCCCAAGATGACGTTTGTGTACAGATAGTTGCCAGAGAAACAAGACTTTTTGCTGGTGGTTGGACGTGCCGCAGTCGAGCTCCTCAATCCCGCTCCTTGCTGACCTTAAAAAGAGCTAAATTTGATAGACAACCAGGAGATTGGATCCTGGTTGTAGAACTAATACAGACTACAGACTTCTGGGATGTGTTCCCAGGCAATTTTTCCAGACAATTGCAGGAAATCTGGGAATTCATTTGTTCTTTGAAGATAAAGCCAAAGATTGCTTCAATGAGTTCCGTTAATGAAAGTCCTCGTGTTGGTGAGCAGCATGTTGCAGAAAGTGATGACTTCAAAAAGCTGACACCAAGCAACCCGCTCGTCAGAGAGGTGAAAAATAGCTCCTCGGGACAGAATGTAGATGCGACGACAAATATACAGTCACCTTTTCAAAGACCATGGGACCATCCAGCGACAAAATATCCCTCGGTGGAGAGAGGTTGCTCGGATGAGAAATCCTGCACAGTAGAGAAAAAGGCCTCCACTGCAAAAGGTGGCATGGCAAAGAGAAGACATGTTGCTAAGAAGTACTACGATATGCTTAAGACACCAATGACTGAGAAGATTGTGCTAGAAGACTACAGTTACAATAATGAAGAAACTCCTGCTAAAGGGAAAAGAGCCACTGTGGAAAATCACCAGTCTAAGAAACAACTCTCTGGGAAGAGGCATCACGTTTCTGAGAAAAGTCGCTCATTTGAGATGCATCTCTCGGCTGAGAAACATCTTCCTACAATAAACTATTACCTTAACAGAAAAAGACAGCTTACAGAAAATGGTCGTTCTACAGAGGAAGGTGGTTTCGGTTGGAGAGATTACTATGGCGAGAGAGGCCACGCTGTTGATGGACATCAATTTGCAAAGAAAGGTCTTTTTACTAAGAGGAGTACATCTCCTAAGAAAGGTTATTTGGATGGGAGCGGACCCTCTACGGAAAACCATAACCTTCAAGAGAATGGCCATTCGGCCAAGAAACTTAATTGTACAGAGAGGCATCGCCAGATAGAGGGAGGCCGTTCTGTGAAGAGAGGACTTTCAGCAGAGAAAGTCACAAAAAGTCACCGAGCAGAGAAGGTTTACTCAGCAATTAAGAGCCAATCTGCAGAGAGAGGTCGCCCCATCAAAAGCTGCCCTGCAGAGGAGGGAAGCTCAGTTGACTTGGCTAACTGGCCATGGAATAGACCCTTTGCAAGGGAAAGTATCCCCACAGGGCAAGGTTGCCACATCAGAAGCCGCCCTGCAGTGGCGAGTTACTTCTTGGAAAAGGATTACACATTGAAAAAAAGACCATCCACAGGGAAAGATCACCCGACATGGAGAATTTTGCCCCAGAAAAAAAGAAGCACTGCAGAGGAGGGCCAGTCAGCAGATAGCGGATACTCTGCAAGGCAAAATTGTCCCACAGGAAGAGACAGGCTTCCAAAGAAAAGCCGCTGTGCAAAGAAACATCTATCTGCGGAGAGAAGCTGCCCTCTCCAAAAGAGTCGCCCTGCAGAGAGAGGCCCATCTTCCAAGAAAATCCACTCTGCAGGGAAAGTTCACTTTGGGGAGAGAGGCCACCATGCTAAGAAAGAGAGACAGTACTCTGCCAAGAAAGGGAGCATGGAAAAGAAGTTTTGTTCTGGGGAGAGTGTTGCATTTCAATACAGCTATACTGATGAGGAAAAGAAACAGGAGAGAATGTGTGCTCTGTGGAGGAAGGTCATCACTCCATGGAGCAAGGTTTTCATGTAGAGAAACCTTTTTTAGGATACATGCCTACAGTGCCAGTGCAAAAGCACATGATGAATTCTCCAGAAATCAGAATTGGTAGTGGTACCAGCCAGGTAGCCCAGGTCCCTCATCAGAATGTGGCTGGGGTTGTCACCACTGGTCAGGAAATGCAGGCAGTGAATCTGAGAATGGGAGTTGAATTGAAGTTGCCTCAAATGCTAAAAGCATGTCTTGTTGAGGACTGGGACTTGGTAAACAAGCAGAGGCAGTTATTCCAACTCCCTGCTGAGACGAATGTAGATCACATTCTCGAAAACTATGTGACTTTCATGAAGTCACAGGGAAAGTCAGATAATGCGGAATATTCCATTGATGAGTTTGTGTATGGAATTAGAGAGTATTTCAACAAAATGCTGGGCACCCAGCTACTCTGCCAGTTTGAAAAACCTCAGTATGCCGAAATCCTCCTTGCTTACCCAGATATTCCTATGTCTCAGATCTATGGTGCTCCTCACCTCCTGCGATTATTTATGAACATTGGGACTACTTTGGCCCATCTGCTCTTTAATAGGCACAGTCTTTTGTATGTGTACAGATATATGCATGGTTTCCTTGACTAACAGATAATTCCATTTCTCTGTTTAGTGTGAGCAATTACAAACTGGCTTCTGCCACATATTGCTTCAAAGCCCTGTGAGGGTCTTCAGACCACTCTGTTATGACCTTGAACAGCAAACATTTCTATTGTTGCTGTTTTCATTGTGTGTTTGTGTTCTTAAAAACTATCTAGGTACACCAGGGCTTAATATTTCAGGTTGCATATTGTTATGAATGGAAATAAAAATATTAAATGTTCAACAACAAATAAATTCTCACTAAAAAAATCTGTGTTGGTTATTTGACAATATTGCTTGGATGTTGGTGCTTCTATCCCTTCCACATTATGAGTTTCTACTAGGTGTTCATGTTGTGTGATATTCCTAGTATCAAAGTATCAACCAATAGATATACCTCAAACACATGCATGCACATACTTAAAATATAAAAACCTTTTTAAAATGTAAAAGAGATTGAAGATATAGCTAATCAGGCCCTGGTTGACACCTTGGTTTCAACAGTGAAAGGAGCAGAAAAAGAGGAGGGATTGAGGAGAAGGAAAAGGAAGGAAGGGCATAAAGAGAAAGAGAAGAGGGCTTGCTAGAGAAGGAAGGAGAAGAGGGAGGATGGAGAGGCTGAGATGGGAGGAGAGGAGTAGGTGAAGAAGAACAGAAGCAGAGGAAGAAAAAGGAGAGGACACGGAGAAGGGGAAAGAGATGAGTGGGGAGGAGGGAGACAAGATAGGGGAGCAGAAAGAGGAGGAAAAGTAGAGTATGAGAAGAAAAGGGAAGAAGAAAAAAGGCAGAGGGGAGAACAAAGAGGACAGAATGAAGAGAAAGAAAGGGGAAGTGAAGAGAGGAAGGAGAGGAAGGTGGGGACAGGAGGAGTTAGAGGGGAAGGAGTAAAGGGAGGAGGAGGAAAGGAGAGGGGGAGTAGGCTGAGAAGAAGAGGGGGAAGCGATAAGGAAGAGATGGAGTGAAAGAAAAATAGGAAAAGGAGGGGTGGAGAAGGAAGAGGGAAAAGAGGAACAGTAGAGATAGGAGGGGAGGATAAGAAGAGAGACTGAGGGAGGAGGAGGAGGAAGAGAGAAGGTAGAGGAGAAGGGGAGAAGGAGAAGAGATGAGTGAAGAGAATGATGTAGAAGGAAGAGGAGAGGGAGGAGAATGGGAGAGGAAGAGGATAAATTGAGGAATGAGAGGGAAGAGGTGAGGAGGGGAGGGCAGAAGAAAAGGAGGAGGGAAAGAGGGTGTGGGAGAGGAGTTGGGAAGAAAGAAGGAGAGAAAGGAGAAGGATAGAGAAAGGAGTCGAGGAGAAGGGAAGGGGAGGAGAAAGGAGGAGGAAGAACAGTGGAGGAAGAAGGATATGGAAATAGGGAGGAGCAAAGAGGGCGGAGTGGTAGACAGGCAAATAATAGAAAGTGAAGAGGAGAAGGGGCAAGGGGGAGAAGAAGGAAAAGATGAGGAGTAGAAAGATTGGAAGAAGGAAGGGGAGGGGAAGGTGGAGGTGAAGATAGGGGGAAGAGAAAGATATCAGGGAAGAACAAGGAGGGGGAGAAGGAGGATAGGAAGAAGGTGAGGAAGAGACGAGGAGAAGGAACAAAAGGAGTGGAAGGAGGAGGAAATAGAGGAGAATAGAGAAAGGAAGGTGTGTAGAAGGAAAGGGCAGAAGTGTAAAAGGAGAAAAAGAATGGGTGAAGGAATAAGGAGAGAGGGAGGAGAGGAAACAATAGGAGGAAGAGGGTGAGAAGAATGGGACAAGGCAGAGAAAGGGGAGACAGGAGAAGAAAGACAAGGAAGAATGGAAGAATAAGAGGGAGATGGTGGCGGTAGAGAAGGAAAGAGAGGCATGAGGAAGAGGAGAATCAGGAGGAGGGAGAGTGCTATATTTGAGTCCTGGCTTTGTTCCTGCAGGGTTAGGAGGGGAAATAGGCAGAGCATGGCAAGCCCAAAGGCAGATTCTGAGTGGTCATGAGTACAAAAGTGGAAAGGCCACCCTGGAGCCTGTGTCAGTGGACAGCTGTTTTATTAAGGGACATTTCTACCCTAGGAAGAATGGCCTGTTAGGTCCATGGGGTGGTATGTTGTTTATTGGGGTAAGAACATCGCAGGTAATTCATTTGTACACTCAGAGTCTATAGGGGCCAGAGGAAGATACCTTATAAAGTCACAGGAAGTACAGTTCTGGCTGTTTCAGATGTCAGATAAGCAGCAACCAGTCCTGTAGCCTTGAAGACCCATGAGCTTATCAGTTGCTATGTGTGTTGGGGCATGTCCACAGGAAACAAATGCTTGGGGTCTGCTGGCATCTGGACAAGGGAGTGGGACAAACAAACTCTTGCTGCTCTCAGGATGAGAAAATCCAGGGATTTTGGCATGCCTCCACCCTTTTCAGGCTAGTTCTAAAGGAGAGGATGAGAAAAGAAGGGGAAGATGAATGAAGGCAATAAGCATGAGGAGGAAGAAAGGACAAGAAGGCAAGGGAGAAGGAAAAAGAAGAGAAGGGAAAGGAGAGGAGGATGAAACGGGGATGAAGGAAAAAGAAGGAAATGCTTAGGGAGAGGAGGAAGAGAGGACAGGAGGAGTGGGAGGAGGGAAGAGGAAGAGGAGGGAAAGGAAGAGGATGGGGAAGAGAAGAGCAAGAGGGAAAGGAGAAGGAGGGGGAAGAAAAGAGGAGGGGAGTGAGGAGAGGGAGGGGAAGGAAGAAAAGAGGGGGAGGAAGTGGGGAGGGGAAGAAAGACGGGAGGGGAAGGAAGAGTTGATGGGAAGGAAGAGGCGAGGAGGATGAGATGGAAAAATGAAAAGGGCAATGTGGGGAGGGGAGGAGAAAGTGTGTGTGTGTGTGTGTGTGTGTGTGTGTGAGAGAGAGAGAGAGAGAGAGAGAGAGAGAGAGAGAGAGAGAGAGAGAGACTGAGTCTGTGCCGGGCATGGACTTTTGAAACTTCAAAGCCTACCTCCAGTGAAATACTTCTAACAAAGTTACTCCTACTCCAACAAAGGCACTGCTCCCAATAGTGCCACTCCCTGGTGACTATTCAAGTCTATGAGCCTATGGGGCCATTATTTTTTATTTAGAGAATACTTTATTAGTTTTTGTAATCAAACCCACGAAGATAAGACCTTACATATTTAATACAGTATGTCACCCCTGTACAAATGGAAAATAATGAAGTTCAACATTTCTAGACCAATATGGCTGTTAATTTCTGTACAATGCCAACTCAACACGGTAAACTGGGATACTTTTTTCCATTGTTGACAGCACAGCTAAAGTTTACAAAAATTCAAATTATATATATATATGTATATAATATATATTTATATATGTATATAAATCAATAATAGTAGTATGTTATGCATCTATAGCAGCAACAGCTTTTACAGGTTCTGCAGTCATTTGAACAAAGTTGTAGAGACATCCAGTACACTCCATTAAAAAATAAAAGTAAAAAAGCAAAATCCCAGACAACAGCACAGTTCTGTTACTCTTGTGGTACCTGGCACCATTTTTTTAAATTAGCTTCTCCATCATAATCTGGAAGGAAACCATCAAAATCCCAACACAATTCTTCACAGACCTTGAAAGAACAATTGTCAACTTTATATGGAGAAACAGATAAGCAGAAACTTACATCACATTGTTTCTGAGAAATGTTAGGTTTAGGTTTCTGTTCCCCAGGCAGAACTACCCTGGTTGAGACCCAGGATTCTGTGGGTCCCAGAACATCCTGAGCACACTGGTGCCATGGCATACTTAATAAAAACCAGTTCAAAAGTAGGGCTGAGTTTCACTTTATTGGCAGGCAGCATCAGGTTCCAGGAAAAACCATAAGTTGACTCCACCCACGGACTGCCAGCATCTAAGGGTAAGTGCCTGGCATTTCAAACATCCCAACAATTAGATAAAGATTAGTTAAAATCACCAGAGGTCCTTGAGCCCAGCTTGCATCTATTCCCCTTTTGCCAAGGCACCCTAGACAAATGTCAGCCAATCAGAGCCTTGAACACTGGAAATCCCATCTCCCCGAGTCTCTACTATGACAATAACCCTACCCTGCCAGGATAGGTACTCCCTGCTCTCAACCACTCATTGAACAGACAGAGTCCAAGCTCAAACTTGAATAAAGGCTCTTTGTTTTTACATATGGTATTCTGTCTCCTTGTTGGTTTTTGGGGGACTCTGCAATCTGGGCCTAAGAGAACTTAGGACATTGTTAATAAAGGGACCAGACCCTCACCCAGCCCCCTGTTTTAGCAGCCATGACAGGCTGCAGAAAAGACCCAGCAAGATGTAGGTCTCTGACTCAGCACATGTTTCAACCTTCTGACCTTGCTGGACCTGCCTAAGTCACTAGGAAGTCAGATACACTCTATGTGGCAAGGAACCAACCAGAAGTTAGCTGGCAGTCTCTGGATGTGCTTTACAGTAATGGTGGTGTAACAGTAGCATACATAGCATAGCAACCACCCTGAGAGGCCATAGCAATCAGTTGACCAACCAACCCAGGACAGGTCTCCCAAGCCTGGAAGTGCACCAATCCTGAGACTGTTGTGGATCCAAAGACACTCTGTCTGCTCTACCCAATAAATTCCCTGCCTCATGGTCCCTTTGGGTTCTTCTCTCCTCACCTGCTGTGTCGGACAGATGGAGGAAATAAGTCAATACAGTTAACTGGACAAAATTAAAGACTCTTTGCTTTTGCATCTTGGTGATTTTGGAGTTCAGAATTTGGGCACAACAATTAGCAGCACTGCCGTTTTGGGCTTTTTTGTGACCTAATATTCCAACCTTTTGTCGATGATAAGGGGAAGGAGGCAGGGTCCCAAAGAATAACAAAATGAGAGTCTTTTGTCAAGGCTCGATGAAGTTTGAGGGCTAGTTTGTGAAGTTTTTTTTTTTTTATTCTTTCTTTGACTTTGTCCAGACTAGTTTATATAATAGCAACATTCTTCTGTGAGGAAGAGACAAATTTCTCCTTTTTTGGCTGTCAACAAGTCAAGAGGCCTCTGATTCTGTAGGACTGCTT